TCAAATGTGGAAGCGTATCCAGGACTTGGTGCGGAGCTTGCTCAGCCCACGAGAGAGCTGCGCAATGTCACACACTCGCCACTTCTTACCTTCTTCTATTTTATGCTCAAGTCCATGTGAGTGAATATCGAACCAAGAAACCGAACATTTACGCATTTCAGCAAGTAGACAGACGAAGCTGAAGCAATTCATGCTCGACAAAGTCAAGCACCCCCGACGGCCGCCCACGAAAACGCTGAAGAATATACGGCGCCGCTGAGAACTAAGCCCAGCGCACCAGGCTCACGAGATCCTACACGCCCTCGGGTTTGCTCGTTGCGCGCATGCTCTACCCGCAGAAGAGCTTTGCAGCGCACTGGTCGATGGTCGAAGATGGCGCCGTTCTTGCTGGCAGCTTCGGACGCTTCATGAGCCGCAACCGCTGCCAGGATATCCTGAGAGATCTCCACTTCGTCGACAACCAGGGCGAACGGAACAGGGACAAGCTGTGGAAACGGCGACCGGTAATTGCCAAGCTTCAGCAGCGTTTCCTGGAGGGCTGGTCGCTGCCTGGTGTTTTTTCTTTTGATGAGGGGGTATTACCAGCCACGTCTAAGCGGAACACGACGAGAATGTTTATGCCTGATAAACCACACCGATACGGGTCGAAGATGTTTATGACGTGCGACTCGAGGACAGCCTATTGTCACAGGTAAGCATCTGAATGTCGTAAGATACGCCATCAACCATTCTGACCGACTTCTATGTCGTATCTTACCAGATTCGAAATGTATGCAGGCAAGCGCACGTCAGACGCTGACAACAGCACTTCAGTTGACCTCTTGACAGGTGCAGCTGCTGTGGTCAGGAACCTGAAGATTGTACTTGCAGAAAACAAGCGACAACGGTGGTGCGCGGTTGTTGTAGACAGATACTACTCTTCTCTTCTCCTTGCAATCGAGCTGCTGAAGATGAACGTTTACGTTATTGGTACTATCATGGTCAACCGTCTCGGGCTGGACAAGAACCTCCAAGTAAAGAGAGCAACGCGCCCGGCGAACATTCCACGCGGCACGCTTACCTTTTCACGTTCGGTTGCAATACCATCCATGATTGCTTTCCACTGGTGGGACCGCAAGCCGGTCCACTACCTGTGTACAGGCGCAACGATGGCGCCGTCAACGATTGAGCGGAAGGTGAAGCAGGTTGGGGCAATTACGGTGCCATGCCCAGCCGCCGTAAGCGACTACCAAGGTTGGATGGGTGGAGTTGATGTGCATGATCAGCTCCGCCTCCAAGCCTACTCGCTTCAAACATCTACTAAGTTCAAGAAATATTATAAAAGCCTATTCTTAGGCTTCGTCGATCTCGCGTTAGTCAATGCCTACATCTCCCACACCGAGGCTGCGAAGATAGCTGGTATACCAGCTATGAAGCGTCGCGAGTGGTACGGCGTCCTCCAAAACCAGCTCCTTCAACTGAAGACAGAAGACTTCACCGGTGTAGTCGCAACGCCATCACCTTCAGCGCAGAAACGTAAGCGTACTTCGCGGCTTACACATGTCTTGGAGCAGTGTGAGGACTGGGTGATGGTCTCCAATGTGCAGAAGCGTCGCCAGCGCTCCTGCAAGGTGTGCGCGTTGTTGAAAATCGACCGCAAGAAGAAATCTTACGCGACAACCTTCTATTGTGAGCGATGTTCGATCGATGATGCCAAGTGTTGGCTCTGCAACAAGATCCGGCGAGAATACAAAGGGGTGGCGAAGACGTGCTTCGAAATCTGGCACGACGATTTGATGCCGGCCAGAGCATACCGTCGAACTTGGGGAAGCGGATTGTGATGCGGCGACCCGGACAAGAAGCAGGATAACGGCAGAAGACTCGCCGAGAGATCCAGCTGCGAGGTGACGAAGCCGATGATGAGGCTGAGTCGCGTAGCAAAGACGATTGCGAACTTGATGAGTCCTTTGCTAGTAATGCACAGAGCCTTGAATCAATGTGTATTCTACGTTTCGTGTTTGCAAATGACAGGCCAAATGATCGGACTTTCTTTTCTAGTCAGTGCTGGCTCGTGGTAAGTTACGACATACATAGCTAAATAATGCAAACAAAGCTGTATAAGCTACGTCATTGCACGAAGGACCTGTTGACAACTTATACCCCATCCCCTAGGGCTTTCTTTGCCCCATACAGTTATTCAGCTTCAGCACTAAGTCGTAAGATACGACGTACAATAAGCCGTCCGGTGCCCTCATTCCTGGGAGTCGAGGGGTTAATTGCCAGTCCATGACATTAATCAGTAGACGAGTAGTAATAGCATTTCAAGAATAAAATAGTAATGAATTGTTATTATCCTACTTAAAGCGTAATACAGTATTACATTCGACAAGGAGTCTCGAGTTAGAAGTGTTGTGCGATGAAGTGGGGGGGGGGGTGAGCTATACACAAGCTGAAAGTACATGATAAAAGAAACGATCGGATTGTAATGGTCTGACCCTCTCCTTCACTTTCATAACGTCCATCCTTCCCGACAATAGCCTCCAACGAAAAGAAGAAGCCGTGCTACGGACAAGTTCCATTTCATCTTGATGCTGCAGATCTCGAAGCTGCCAAAGACATGGGCTTTTTGAACTCCACGGTGTCATACTGTCTGCCAGCGATAGCCTCGCTGCCCTTGGTCTCCTCGTCTAGTATGACCTCGTGCACCTCCCACCATCCGACCTTGTCTAGTTGTCCTTTTTAAGGTGCTGCACCTTGCTCGACAGGCGGCTGGCTTTTTTTTCTACGTGCGGCTTGAGCTGCAACCGCCTTCGGACCGCAACCCACTTTTTGCGCTTCGAGGTGGCCCTTTTAGCTTGGTGCACGAGCTGAATGTAACATGGCACCTCCAGCAAGTCTTTGGTCTTCCCTCGTCCTTTGGACGACCTGGCTTTTTTCTTCGATACATGGCGCAAAACTGGGGCCATTGCAGGTAAAGAAAATGAAAGTGTTAGCAGTTGAATACAATACATGCACACGTATATTGCTTTAGCTTTTAACCAACTTCACTCATGGCTTTCTTGGCCATTGCGATATGTATGTACTAATATAAGTAAATGTATAATACTATCACTGACCTCAGTGATTGTAACGCTTACTATTTTCTGTAATCTCAGTGATAATCACTGAGATACGGAAATTCATCCTTTTGTGTGACATGTAGGAGGAAGGGCGATGTCCCATTGTATTTGGCGGTAAGAATCAAAGTGTGTGTTTGTATGAAGACGTCCGATCCAAAATTTAAAATCAGATCGATGCGGCGTGTCATCCCTCGGCGAGGAGGGGAAAACCGTTGAGGGGGTGGTGATCAGGGGTTAATGGTAACTCCAAAATCGGTGCAGCTTAATATTGTGAAAATATCACCTGTAGACCAGTTAATATAAA